CTATTTTGGATGAAATCCAAAACCTTCCCAATTTAGTTAAGTTAGAAATTACAGTCAGCCCTCCTTATCCATAGATTTTTAATCCACGGATTCAGGCATCCACAGCTTGAAAATACTTTTAAAATATACAGATTCCCGTAGGCAAACCTTGATTTTGCCCTTTTATATAAGGGACACCATTTTACTATGCCATTATATTTAATGGGACTTGAGCTTCCATGCATTTTGGTATCCATGGGGCAGATCCTGGAACCAATAACATAATAATAATAATAATAATAATAATAATAATAATAATAATAATAACAACAACAACAACAACAATAATAATTATATGCCATTGTATTTAATGGGACTTGAGCATCCATGGATTTTGGTATCTATGGGAGGTCCTGGAACCAAGCCCCAGTGGACCCACTATATTTAGCCCCTGGCCTTTGTTTCAGTATGGTGGCTGTGTCTCTGTGTTGTAGAGATTTTGATCTAGAATAAAATACCTCATCTTCTACCTCCTTCCAATCCATTTTTGTATCTTCTTCCAACTGGGCACAGCTGGCAGAGCAGTTGTGTCAACAAATCCAGCACAGACAGCAAAAGGTCAGTTCAGCCAATACATGAGTGCTTAGCACTATAAAGCAGTATAGAAATGTAAGTGTTATTGCTGTTGCTACAAGAGGCTGCTACCTATTCCTGACTCTTTACAGCCAGCACACCTTTGAATTAGGCTTGTGCTGTAAGTTTCCAGGAAAATGCAAATGCCCTGTACACAAACTTGGTAAAACACTGAGTCCCTTGATACAGACTTTGTGAACAATAGTCTTACATTCTGCATGCCTTAGCACTGTAGATTTACAGTGTTGAAAAAAATAATCATTTCAAAGCAAAGGAATAACTTTTTAAGCTATTCAGTAGCATCTTATGCAAAAATGAAGTATCGAATCTTACACATATTTACTCACAAGTCCCACTAGGTTCAATGGGGTTCATTGCCAAGTAAATTTAGAGTGAATAGTACTGTAAATAAAAGTCAGAAGAAGAAGAAGAAGAAGACCTTTAAATAACTCTTTTAAAAAACTATGTTGTAAAGGGCAACACTTGCACCTCTATGAAGCACTTTCAGAAACAGGTGACCAATATATCTATGACAGTGTGATATTTTCCAAACTATGACTTGGTGGCACTGAAACCAAGAACAAGAAGTCAGTGCCAGAGCACCTGCTTGGCTGGCAGAACCTTCTGAGTGAAATCCCTTGTATCTCAAAAGTATGAGGAACAGGTAATAAATAAAGCCTTGCCTGGAATCCTAGAGAGAAAATGCCAGTCAGAGTAGATGATGCTGAGCTAGACAGAAAAATACTCTTATTGTCACTGTGTGCCTTTGCTTTTGACACGTGGTGTCTCTAAGGTCAACCTATCATAGGATTTTCTTAGCAAGATTTGTTCAAAGGAGGCTTTGCCTTTTCCTTCCTCTGACTTACCCAACGTAAGGGGAAATTCAAACAAAAATCCATCAGTGATACCATTATTAGCCAATCAAAATGCACAATATACTTGTTGCCCAAGGTAACCCAAGTGGGTTTTCATGGCCAAGCAGGGATTCAAACCCTGATCTCCAGAGTTATAGTTCATTGCTCAAACCACTCCACCACTCCACCATAACAATGTGATACATACTCTTGTTAAATATTTCCTACCTCCTTAAATGTATTTTCTGCTTCCTTTGTCTTTCAATTGTACTTGATTTTTAAAAGACACCTGTGGGCAAAGAGCTGAGGTTATCTTGGTGCAGATATTGTTGCAACACAAGATTCAATACCGTGGGTTTAATTTCCAGACATGTAGGACAGAAAGCTGAAGTCCTCTATCCTAGACTGTGATATTGTCAGGCAATAACAGTCATTCCAATTCCAACTTTCTTTCACCCCAACTGTCCCCATCTTGTCCATGGGTTTTGAAATATTTTTTCACTTATTAATTTTGCAGGGAGAGCTAAAACAATTTTTAAATATAATGCCAAACTAACACTTCTGATCATGTCAAGTGTAATCCATCCATTCATGTGGAGGAAATAATTTTGTATTATTTTTGGCACAACACAAAGTGGGGAACCATCAGGTGTTGTGCAGGAAACAGCATTTCCTACAGAGGAAACAGAATTTTCTTTCCATGCAGAAAAATCAAAACCATACATGTGAATTATGTGTAAAATAATTCCACAACTACATTTGTTGCTCAGGGAGCAGCATTTTCTACTGTGAATTTTGTGTAGAATAGTATTTTCTGTACAGAAAACACTGTTTTCTGTGCAAGCAAAAAAGCCCCCCCCCAAAAAAAATTTAAATGTTAATTTTGTTTAGAATAAGTCCTGAACCACAAAATGGCAGAGTTTTCCAGGACAGGCAGAAGAGAATGAAATTAGTGAATAATTATATCTCTACTCTGTTCTATCTGTCCCCAACAAATCAGAGGAAGAAACCAGGCTTTATTTTGATATTTTTCACGGGTTTGTTGCAGGAGAAGCAAACCAAAGGCAGCTCTGCATGCATTTGGATGACATGATATTTTAGCCACAAGCAAAACTCTGTGCCTTGTTTAGTCATTCCCAATGTGAGCAACAGTGACTGGGAAATACGCATCATCACACTGCTTATAACTGATAAGCCAGAGTTTCCATAGAACCTTGACTTACTGGGTGACCCAAACCAGCCCAAAGACTTATCTGATTTTTTGTCAACCCAACCATTATAGAAAGGATAACTGAATCAAGGAGTTGGAAGAAACCACAAGGGCCATCCACTCCCTGCCATGA